GGTGAAGTAGAGAGACAGGTACTGAAATACACATTATTACAGGAATAGATTTGTTTTATATTTGTAGTATTTCTATGGCATAAGTTTCTCAATGTATATTTTATGTGCCATCAACTTACTACATGATTTTGTTGTGTCCCTTCTTTCTGCTGCCTCTGAAGGCAAAATCCCCGATCTGCTGTCTGAGGGCTCAGTTGATAGCATCACCAAGCTGGTACTGGTGAATGCTATTTATTTCAAAGCGAACTGGGCAACGAAATTTCAGGAAGCTGACACCACTGATGCACCATTTTGGCTAAATAAGGTAATACAGATACGTCCTGGTAGGACGTGTTTAATGAAAAGGTCTAATAATATAGGTGGTAATGTGAAGCTTTGCTTACAGATAAAATAATTAAGAAATAAAAAGTAATTTATTAATATTTTAATTATTTTTTGTGGATTTTTAGTATTTTCCTGTATTCAGCAAGCTATTTGGTGTCTCATTTACTAGAATAGCACTAGAGACAATTCTCACCTATGGTTTAGGACCTAGTAGGGTTTCTGTCTGCAGCAGATCAGCAGCTATGAACTGTGTCTGTTTGTGATGCTAGGTAAGCAGTCTTAAAATGACAGAACATTTTGATTAAGCCCCATCTTCTTGTTCTATATTCTGCTTATGTTAACAGCTTTACAAGTTACTGTGTGCTAAACAGAGTCATCTTTGTTGGCTGAACGTTTTTGTACAGCAATTTGAAGAAACAATTTCGGTTTCTGTGAGGCCTGTGCTACAGAAGGCAAAGGAGAACCAAATATAATACCACCTCATTATTTCTTCAGAAGAAATTGTTATTAAACAAGCAGTCAGAAGTCTGAAAAAAAAGTTTTATAATGGAGGACAAGTGTTTATATAAATGCAATTTTAACTTACTTGTTTCCTTGGTTCTTTATTGATTTTACTTACTTGTTTCCTATTGGTTCTTTAAATGAGTATTTCCTTACCTGTTACTTACCTGGTACCTGTTACTTTTGTGCCTTTTATCCATCCAGAATGAAAAAAAGACAGTAAAAATGATGTATCAGAAAAATAAATTTAATTTTGGATACATCCCCGAAGAGAAGATCTGTGTTTTAGAGCTGCCTTACGATGGAAAAGAACTTAGTATGTTCATCCTGTTACCTAGAGATACTGAAGAGGACTCCACTGGACTGCAGAAGGTGACCCATCTAAGCTAATGCAGTTGCTCAGTGTTTTTAAGTTCAACCATTCAATACTAAAGCCTTAGTGAACTCATGTTCTCAGGGCACCAGATCTATCTGGTGTATTTTTAGACTACTCTCTACTAGTACAGCAGTAAAGAAAAAATGAATGTACTGCATCAGGAGGAGAAGTTGTGTTCTGATTTTGTAGCTTGTGTTCATGTGTCCTCTGCTGAACTGAACCATGATGGAGACTGAAAACAGAATTAACTGTGAGAATTAACTTGCTTTGAATATTTGTTTTTAATGACAGAATTTGTCTTTCAGTAGATTTGAAAGCCTTTCTTTTCTTAACTGTAAAGTAGTGAGATGATTTCCATTATATGACCTGCTTCTTTGAGCTCTCTGATTATGATTTTTGTTACTTGTTTTTAATTAGGTAAGTCCATTTAGTTAGATTAAACAGTAAGAAGACTGGCTTTCTCTCAGTGCATGTTTTTCCCTTCTGTACATTGCAGCAAGAAGCAAATGTCTGCATTACTTCGTAAAGTAAGAACTGCGCTGACTCCACTTAGTTGTAATAGTATTTTTTGATCTTTATTTAGCTATCAAAGATGAGGTTATGTTCATTTGTGCATAGCTGCTTTACCATTGTATAATGTTCTGTAAACAAAGCCTCATAAATGTTACTGAAAATGAAATACTACATTGGTGATAAGTAATGCTTTCTTGTCCTTTTAATTCTAGATGGAGAAGCGGCTTACATTGGAGATGCTCCAGGACTGGACACGTCCAGAGAATCTGTATTACACTGACGTTCATGTGCGTTTGCCAAAGTTTAAGCTGGAAGAAAGCTATGATCTTAAATCAGATTTAGTTGCTATGGGCTTGCTGGATGTATTTGACAGTGGCAAGGCTGACTTGTCAGGAATGTCAGGGGCACGTGATCTCTTCCTCTCTGCAGTTGTCCACAAGGCTTTTGTGGAAGTGAATGAGGAAGGCACAGAAGCTGCAGCTGCCACTGCTGGCATTGCTATGCTCTGCATGGTTATAGAAGAGGATTTCAATGCTGACCACCCTTTCCTTTTCTTTATTCGCCACAACCCAACACAAAGCATACTTTTCTTGGGCAGATATGCTTCCCCATAGAAGCAAACTTAGTATTTGCAGCAGTTCTTGCTGTTGT